AACTGGTTTTTGTTCTGGAAGCCTGCAGCAGCTTCACACTTCATCAACCCCACCAGCTCTCAGGTGTATAGCAAGGTGGGAGCTGCTTCTCTGTGGTCTTACTCCAGCCAGGAGCAGCCCTGTCCATCCCTAAGCTTCACTAATGCATCAAAATACTAAAAAACTACACAGCTTCTGGTTGTTGTAGAACGTTTTCTGTATTTTGTGAACTGGCTGAGCTCCTGTCTAAGTCTGCCAAGCACTATGGTTTTTGTGAAGTGAGCAAGAGGATCAGAGAGGAGAGGAAGGGAAGCAGGCGCTCCTTTCTGGAGGCATCCTGCTTGCATTTTGGCTCCCAGTTTCATGAGACTGCACACTGAATTGATGTGGGAGCACCGACTGTAGAGAATTATCTCCTTTTCAGCACCTAGGGCTGTCAGTAAATACATGACAATCAAAATATGACTCCTGGCTTTATGCTGTTGCCCTTATCTGTATGTTTCTCTGAATGCCCTGCCTTTCTTTCTCTCTTCCCCTCTTTGTACTGAGCTGTTTCAGCTTAAAACCAGCTAAAATTGACTTAGGTGGCTCCACCAGGAAAGACTTTTCTTATAAAGTCTTTTTTATGAATGCCACTGGAATGTCACTATCCAGTGGACTTAGAAGGGGCTCACAAGTACTGCAATTGAAGTATTTAGAAAAGGCAAAATTATGGAAATAAGTAATTTAAATTATCTTGTCTTTGGAGAAATGGGGGCAACAAATCAACCCAGCAACAATGCTCTTCTCTCTGGTTTCCAAGCCAGATACTGACAAAACAAACTGAAGGGTTAAAATCAAGGCTGCTTAATCTGGGGGAGGGGAACGAGGACCAAGATCACGTTACTGATAAAAGAAAATATGTAAAATAACAAATTCCAGGCTTTCTCCCTTGGGGTGTGCATTCAGCTGTAGAAAGAATGTTTATGGAATAATACATTGTGTTGTTTAAGCATGCTTCAAAGAACAAATCTTTTCTTACCTTGTAGAAATTCATCTCAGCTTTTTCTTTTCTTTCTTTCTTTCAGACCGTAAGTCAGTAGAAGTGATGTATGTTACCCGTGGGGCAGTTTGCACAGGGCTAGCTTAATCTGGGCACGTCCTTACCTTGGATTGGAAGTCTGTTGTATTTAATGGGGTGTTAACTCAGTTTATTCCCTGGGATTTCTGCAGTAATTTTATTGCCTGCAAAAGGAGCAATCTGAAGCCAGATGAAGTGAAGGTATGCTCTGTACCATACCTGCTGAGCTTGGCAATGATGCCTGGACACATTTACCTTATTCTGGGGTTTCTGTTTTCTTCATCACATCTCTTGCATGTATTTTCCTGGTAGTACTGCTTTGAGTTCGAGGGTTATCTCCCTTCTTTGAGAAAATAGATCCATAGGCACTGCATCTGGTCTGTTCCCAAGTCTGTGTCAAATGTTCTTGGCAGTACAGGCAAGCATAAGAGTAATGGATTCTGAAGTCAGATTTTACGAATGAGGCTGTTTGGTAGTTGAGTTCAGTGATACTGCAGCAGAACATAAAGTGAATTACAGTCTAAAACATTTATAATGTTAAAGAACTGGGTTCCTCTAATGCTGAAGCACTAACAGAACAAAGAGAAAAAAATCAAAGACAAAGGATAAAAAATCATCTTCAAGTGGACAAACTGTGCAGGATGACAGACTTTTATAAAGACTTCTGTCAGATGCGGCTGTTTGGTGAGGGAGGATGGTGTAGATCAGCACTGATGCCTTAGGACAAAAAGCTCAATTGTTCAGTCCTCTTACACAGGTGGTCTTACAACTCCTATGTGGTAAAAGCACAGACAACAGTTTCATGAACATTAAAAAGCATTTGGATGTTAAATTACTGGGCAGTATGTGTTTAGTGTGAATGACAGCCACGATGTCACTTGTGCCTGGTGTCTTGGAGAACAGACTGCAGTAACTTCATCAGACTCTTCTGAAGCACAACTTTGGCCTGAACTAATATCCTGATATATCAAGTTGGTTTGTCTCAGTTAAGTTTGTTGTCATGTGGTTTTGACATACTTATGTTGTAGGAAACATTTCACAATTAGATCAACTGTTTTCTAAAGCCAAAGCTTCAGTGGAAAGTTTTTGGCCCCCATGAAATTAATGAAAATTTAGTTATTGACATTGCTGGAGCCAGGATTTAATCTGCAGTCTTCAGCAGTTATATATGTGGTTATGGATTATCAGTCCATATGGAAGCTGGAACTGTGTCTCCAGCTTTTCCTAGACTCATCCAGTGTCTGTAGTGCTGCAGCTTCACAGAGGAGTCTGCGTGGGGGTTCTTCCTAAGGAGAATCCAAGAGGAGCTCCTGCAATGTATTACCAGGCTGACAAAGCATATGTTTCTTCAGCTAAAATAGCACTGCTCTTTCACATATAATGGGGTCACTGTTTCTCTGCTGAGTTTCTCATGTTATTGATACTTACTAGCTGGGTTCCAATTTGATGATAAAATATCAGCACTTCAAAATCCTAGCAGTGGGAAGGTTTCACATCACCAAAATGTCAGTCCTGTCACTTAAAGAAACACTTCTGTTACTTTCTGTCACTGCTGCTACTTTTTCTTTTCTGATAGGAAATTTCAGTTGGATTCCCAAGTTCTCCACTAGCAATTTCACTGAATTCAGTATTTCACTACCATGGGCAAATGCAATGAAGGTGTTCTCAGGGTGGGGTGGGAGGACAGCCTGGATCCAGAGGATGTGGGTTTGGTTTCCAGGCCCTCTATGTGTGACAGGTTCTATTTCTGCTCCATGGTCCAGTCAACAAATTAGTGAAAGTTACTCAGTTCAGTGATGATGATGTTAAAAGAACTGATGGAGACAGAGTTTTTGAGCAGTGGGCTGTTTTTGGTCTGCTTTAGTTCTTCATTGTGCTAATGAAAAGAGTAAACATCATCCTTTTAGACAGAGCTGCCTGAAAAGGGGGCTGTGTCTTAGCCTATGTATCCAGGAACTACCACGGTGACCTGAATAGGAATCTATAGGCTTTGTTCTGTTAATTCATCTACCTCCACTGGTAGTTTTGGATATGATTAAGAGGATTTGGATTTGGAAATAGTAATTTGTTGTTGGCTTTTAAATTACTATTTAAACTAGACTTGTGATGTCTTTTTTCTTCTTGAACTGTACTGCCTGAAATAGTGCAACTCTTGCAGTTGAATCCTATTTTCCTTATTCTTTCTCAAGCTCTGACCTTTAAGAACACAAGTGGAACTGGTATCTATACAAGGATGTGGCAAAGGTCTTGTGTAGCCTTCTGAAAAGAGTCCTGTTTTGTTTGCATCACAGAGTAGTCAGAAAATGTATCAGGGAAGAATAGTGGATAAAAGAAAATGAATGACATGACTGAGTACAGTAGCCAGAAATAACCTCCTGCCTGGGCTTGTTCACCTCACCAGAAATTATCAGTATAACGGAAGTGTGATTTTACAGCATCTTTAACCATAAGGGTGTAGTCTGTGTAGACATACATTTATGTCAAAATTCTTAATTTTGATGTGGATACATTAATAAAATGATCCAATATAAAAATCAGTGACCATATAATCTTATATAATTTAACCATATAAGTTTAAAAGCTGTTTATTTAGCATACTAATGAGCACTGTCTGGGTTTGATGTCTACAGACAAGATTGTGCATAGTAAATAATAATCATTGCAAAAAAAAAAAAAAAAAAAAAAGTGTTTCTCAGGGTCCTAAATGCACCAGTCTCCACAATCTATGTGCTACTTAATTTCTCCTGAATTTCAGTCTTGTTCCTCACTTGAGTCAGTGTGAAATGTGTTCCTACTGGGTTTTTTTAAGATTTAGAACAAATGACAGGCTGACCCAAGGGGTTTGACTGGAGAGGGAAGAACACTGAGTGCTGCTTCAGTGGAAGAAATCTTGTTTTATTAGTCCAGTCTGATGTTTGAAGAAGAGAACAGATCAGATTTGGACTTCACTGGTAGATCTAGAGCTGGCTGGGTTGCTGCCCTAGAGGGAAAGGTTCCTGTCAACTCCAGATCTCCCAAGAGACATAATTTGCTGAGCTGGTGTGATGAGAAGGTTCAGAGGTAGTGTCAGTCTGGATGGTTCATTAGTTTAAATGTCTGGTGTTGGGAGGTACGTTCTCAAGCAAAGGCTTCTAAATATAAAATAGTCTTGTGAAGTTTTCATCTTATGCATATTCACTTGTTGAATTTACATTTTGTTTTTCATCTCTGAGCTCCTAGAACAGGGCCTTTCACAGAGGACAGCCTTCCCATCTGTCTGAATAAACTGACAGAAAGTTTTTGCAAAAACAGTCCCTTGTTTAACATGTCCATGCCCTCCAGCTAGTTTCTTTCAGAACACTTTGAAGACACTGCCATTGTCACATGCAAGCCTGATTAATCTAAAACTTGAACAAAAGTTTGATCTGTGCACCCTTGAATACATTGACTGTACTTGGTGGAGGTGCAGGTGGAACCATAATACAGTTTTGCCTCAAGAGACCGAGGCAGTCCAGGCAGTGCTCTCAGTACAGAAAGTTCTTGGTGAAGCTGGAAGAGAGCAAACACATCTGTCACTCACCTCTGGGGCATCTGGAGGGGCTGCTTGGGAGCTGCAGGGATCAGCTGGCATGGAGGGCTTTCACCAGTGCTTGCAGAGATGCACCTGTGGTTCCTCTGAGCCCATTGTCTCTGGCTGGCCTCCTCTGCTTTCCTGTGCACTGCACTCATGGGAAAAGGCATGAAATACATCAATAAGGGGATGCATTCCTCAACTCCTCCAATACTCTTGGGTGCTTGATTGCTTCTAGGCTTTGGGTTTTGTTGTTCTGTTCTCATTTACTTTTTTTTTTCAACTACATATCAAGTTATTTCCTGATCTGGCTTCATATGGTGGCTAATGGAACAAAATTGATGCAATTGCTCCAAAAACAGGCTTTTAGCTAGTAGATTCTAATTAAAGCAACCCTTTTTTATTTTTCAGAGGAGGAAAAAAATCCTTCCAAGGGCCCACTGTCTTTGTATCAGATGAATATATATGCAATAATTTCCCAGCCTGATGGAGACAGAAGTTGAAATATGCTTGGAGCAGTTATAGCCAACCATATGTAAGTGCTGGCATTACCTGGAGCTTATTTCTCCCACAAGGTGATATTTCTACCACGGTAATCTTGCTGCTTCCTGCTGTAGGCAGTATTAGGGAGAATGTGTCAGAAAATTTGTCAAAATGGCTTTTTCTCAGAAGATTCCATAGTAGTTATGCCCACGGGGGTGGGGGTGGGGGCAAGTGGAACTATAGGTTTAGTTGAAAATTCATAGTTCTGTGGTTTGGCCAGCATGAGTTTCAGGGGTAAGTCTATATGCCCAGCTGCAGAATCTCCTGTATTTACAAATTCTTCTTACAAGTTCTGTAGGGAGATTGTTTCTTTGTTCTTGCCTGCTTCTTCCATGTGCTTGGTTGCTTAAACAGATGGAGGTGAGGAGATTTTCTCTGCTTCCAGGAATAAAACCTCAAACTCCACACTTGCAAACATGATTAAAATTAACCAGTTAAATTTCACGTGTGTGGTAGGTTCTCAGTGGCCAAAGCTCAGTGGAACTGTGAAAGGGTGTAGTTAAGCTGCCTTGATATGACATGGACTGCTCACTGTGCTGGCTGGATCTAATCTGGTGGAGGGGGAATTACCTTATCTCCAAACCTCATCTCACTTCCAAATCCACCCTAACATCAGACTGAGAAATCAGTGCTCAGGAGAACAAAGACACAAATTCTTTTCCACTCCAAGTGCCAGGAGCAGGAATTTTTTATTTAATCTTCCTTCTGTATTAGTGAATCTGCTTAATAAGGCTTCCCAAGGTAAGTTACTGCCTGACCCCCAGCCATCCCCAGGAGGAAAGAGTGATGGAAGGAATGAATTGCTGCTCATACACAGTAGCCTCAAGACCTGATGAAAAGACATGGTGGGTAAGTGTGCAGGAGGCTCAGTACACGAGAATCTCTGATTATTGTCTTCCCTCTATCACTGTCTGTGTGCTTCAGGACCACTTTTCATAATTTCCTTCCCTTACTGTCCTAAAGACCAAACAGCCTCTTACTCCCCATTTGGAGCATTTAGGCTCTCTATTCATGGAGAACCATTCCCTATCACTCCCTACCGAGCCTGAAAATCCTTCCTGTCCAACATTAAAAAAAAAATCCTTTCTCTGTCTGTCCCGTTCCTGCTGGCCCCCTGCACCTGAGCTGGCTGTGTCTGAGAGACTTGGAGCCTGTAAGTGATGCTGTTTGCCTCTGAGTCAGAGAGGCTTTTAAATCTGAGTGTAAAATGAGCCTCCTCCAGCAGTAAGCAGCCGATCATACACCTCCTTTGAAGTTCCCATTTAAATAACCTCCAGGGCTTTCCTAATGCAGGAAGCCAGCAAGAGGAAGTAATTCCCTCCTTCTCCCCTCTCCAAAGCAAGGAAAATGAATTCCCTGGCAGAGGAGGGATGCTGGATTTCAGGGTACTGCAGAGGAGATGAAGAGCTCTTGTTTGCAGCTTCGTTAGTGAGTCAGCACATATTCATTCATGGGCACAGCTTATTAACCCGTGAGCACTACAGAGGATGGTGTTATCGCTGTCGTGAAGGAATTTCAATTTGTTATATAATTTATAAGGTAACTGCTGCATCAGAGGGAAGCCTGTATGTGCTCATGTGTCCAGGTCCTGGTGTGATGCTAGGATGGGAAGAGGATCAGGGAAACAAAAAGGAAGGGTCCTGGCAGGAGTATGGGAGCTGACCTGGTTGCAAGATGGGGTTTTTTGCTGATTTCCCACCCCTGTGGGTTGTTCCTGGTGCTGCTGCTTCATTTAAAGGTGGCTGTGTGTTTTCAGGCCTGAAGCTCTACATGTGAGTTGGTACTTGGATTTTTCCTGAAGGTGGACAGATACAGGAACACAAGTGAATTTGTGTGACATCTGACAGCACTGGAGGGATGTTCAGTGGTGTGTTGGAAAGGAGAGTGTCCTGTGCTATATGGGATCCTGTGACATTAGATGTCAGCTTTTTATATTCTTAAGATTATATTAGGGCCTCCTCTATGGACTGGTGTCATGTGGCTGCCAAGTGTGAGAGTACAGTAAAATCTTCTGAGACCTTTGTAGTTGCTTTGGGCTGCAGTGATTTAATGGGACAGCTTTCTACTGAGATGGCAGGTTTGCCCATTACTGGAAGGACTGGAAACTGAAGAACCTGGTGAAGTAACATTCCTACTTGCCTTGATATTACTTGTTTGCCAGGTAGGTTAACCAGTCAATACCTAAATGAGTTCACTCCTTTGTTAAGTGATTTATTAAATAGTAAAGCTTATTCAAATAATTAAATAGACTTTACTAGTGCACCATCTTAGCTAGAGAATGCCCTAAAGACATCTTAAGTCTGAAGCTAAGCAAGCTGCCTGAGGTCAGTTCCTCCTGGACTCAGAGGTGCAGAACTCAAGGATCCCTGCATTTTCAGACTGCTCTTAAACAGGTGTTCAGGGTTTATCTTCCCCAAGGAGAAATGTGTGCTTGCCTGAGCATGATGTTAGTCCTTGGTCTGACTGAAAGTGTGGGGAGTTCCAAGGCAATTATACCTGCACTAATCATAATTTGCTCCTTAATCTAGGAGTATCTGCCTCTATGTCCGTGTTTATGCTAAGTTGCTGAACAATTTGATTAGGTGCTTTGAATAAACCTTGTAATTATGCCACAGATACTCCTGATGCATTATGTTATTTTTATTATCTAAGTTAACACTGCCCATTGTTGTAGCGTGGTTACACTTAGAGGCTGCTATTAGAGCTGAAGCTCAGTTGTGCTAAATATTGCACAGACGTGCAGTCAGCTGCAGTCTCTGTCCTGGAGGACTCACAGCTTGCCTGTACTATTGTGCATGAGCCCATTAGAACACCCTGAGAAGCATTAGTGCCTCAAATAGTTCCACAGGTTCTGTAATGGAAATGGCCTTGCAGACCTTTTAACCTGTGAAGGCAGCAGTGTTCCTGAAATCAGCTTTGTCTGTGTTCTTCCATCATTATCACTGCTTGTTAGACAGAATTTTGGGAAAAGATAGTTTCAAATGTGGTTGGAACTGGCTAATTCTGATTTCTCAGTGAGTCCTCCTGAGGGTGGAAGATAGAGCCAGGCCACTCTCTTTCATGTCCCCAGCATGGGTTTCTGTTTTGTCAAAAGCATATGTGAGCTGAATTCTTTCCTGGCTGGTTTGTACTTCACCAGATTTCCCTGACCTTGTGCCAATCAATGATGAATTGTACAAGTCCCCATCAGAAACACTGCAGAAGCCAGAGGAATGCCAGCCTCACTGTGTAGTACATTAAGTCAAAATATTTTAAGCCTAAGACTGATGGGTATGATTCTTCTATTTCAATCTGCTCCTTCAGATTAAAAAGCTGCTAAAAGCTTCAGCTTGTCTTGCTGCATCTGCTGTTTCAAGACCAATGAATGGCATGTCCAGGACTGGAGGCTGTGGGTAGGAGGATGATATTTTGTGATAAATGTACCTGATGGTGTTTTTTGTTCACAAAGTTTTTTAAAAGCCTTTTACAGCAAATGATCAATCTATTAGAATACTGAAAGAGCATCTAGTACTCCTTTGACTGTGAGGAATAAGTAATGTCTAAAAAGACCACAGACCTCTAACCTATGCAAAGTTAGTTCACTTTTTGCTTATGTTTCCTTCTTGCCTTGCCCTCTGTGGTGCTGTTACAGTTAGATTGGCTATAACTGCAGGATATTATTTTGTAATATTTTATGTATTGTCTCTCTTACTAATTCTCTATCCCCTTTTTACAGCTTTGTGGCTAAAAGATTAAATATGCAAAGCATTTATATGAAAAAACATAAAATAGCAGATTATTGCTATTTTTCCCTTGCTTTGCATTAAGTTTTCAGTGTCAAAGTTTCAGTGAGGCAGATTCTGTGGTGATGGGAATCAGTTGGTGGTAGAGTTGATTGATTTGAATTTATTGGTATAAGAATACGAGGATTTCCTGAGTAAGCTGGAAGGTGGGAATCATGCTCAGAGACATAGCTGGTAGAGCCAGTCTGTAAAACCTTTGAAATGATGAAAAGGCATAAATATCAGACTTCTTCCTGTTAGACTACTGTGATCTGTCACAGCACCAGTGGTAGAAGGAGGAGAGGTGCAGAGGCTACAAAAGGCAGCTCATATTTCTGGAAGTGCTGGTGGGATTTAGAACTGGTTTTAGCTCACATGAAATTTTGGGACTAAGGCCAAGTGCTATTTCTGTAATTTGAGGTTGACCCATGGCTAGGATTAAGGGCTTGAATTCGATTTACTTTAAATCTGAGGCTGAACTTGGTTGACACCTGCTGGTTGGGATTCTAGGAAATCAAAGGAAGCTTCATTGACTGACATGAAATTCTGCTTTCAAATACTGGTGAGAAATCAAATACTTTTCAGCCATTTTCCAACAACAAAATGAGAACTCAAACTGGTGGTGCTTAGGTCTGACCTCAGCACCCTCATTTCTCCTGTTTAAGAAGCTGGAGCGGGCAGAGAAGAGAAAAAAGACATCTGGCAAATAGACATTCAATTGGCTTAATATAGGGACTGTTTTGCTGCAGTGTAACTGGAGCCTCTTATTAAGAATCTGATGGCACTTCTAAACAAGGAGAGCTGCTCCCTTGGAGGGGGCAATCTCCAATCATATGCCAACATTGCTTTTGACATATTTATGACTCCAATAAAATCTCCCATCTGGTATATTTTAAAATAAAATTGAAAATTTATCACTTTGCTGTAGTTGGTTTGTCGTTCTCCCTGAGAGAAGATAGCCAGGTTGAGCTTATTGCATTGGCAGCCTGTCAGCTGAGGTTAGGCTGAGGTGTGATTTAAATTTCAATACTTTCCACATTACAGCTGTCTGGGGTGGGGAAATTACAAGGAGAAAAGCAGGGAGTCTGTTATTTTTATTCATTAGTCTCTCCTGATTTGTTTTGTTTTTCTTCTGTTTCATTCTACTTACCGCATGCAGCACCTGGAGGAAAAGATACTCCCCATTTTTCTGGGTTTCCACAACCTTTGCTTGGTCAGAGTTGTGTGGGAGGGACAAGGCTGACCCCAAGTTGTGCCTGTGTCTCTGTGGCTGTGATAGCAGGGTAAGATCCTTCTCCATGTGGGGTACTGTGCAAGTTTATAGCATTTGGAGAGACTGCAACTTTCAGCAGAGCTAAAGGAGCAGTGCTGATTCCCATTTCCCTGACAAGGGACCAAAGGAGAGGTGTGGAAGGCATTTTGTTTCACTTAACATAGACAGCTGTATCTAAGTCTAGATTTCATCACAGCAGAGAGAAATGTACATTTCTGGGAGCAGAAGCAAACATGCTGTGGATGTGCCTTGCTGTTTCTAAGCCTTTATGATGGGGTTAGGTCGAGTGCTTTTAAATGATGTGCAATAGATCAAATGCGTCACCTGCCACAGGATTTCTCTGTATGTGAATCTTTGTCTGTCCTAGCTGGAGTAGGTTTGGAATGTGGAGCAGCTGAAGCTGAGTCTGGTGTTCAAGCTGCAAGGCAGGATCTGCCTCCCAGTGGGTCACTGGGATTTCCCATTCGCCTGTAGTGGACAGAAGCTGGGGAACAGGAGTGTTTTGTCTGTGCAAACCTCCCTGGAGTGGAGGGCTGGCTGTAGGCCTCACAGGCAGCACTGTTCTGCTTCCTGCTTTTGATTCCTGCCCGAGTCACGCCTGGCTGCCTGCTCTGGCAGTGCCCACTGGTGCGTTTGATTAGGTGCATTTGTTTCCGTTTCGGTACTCAATAGTCTGACTGTAAAATTATCAGAGGTCTTATCTGGGCAATCAAAGGGAGTAAAATGCCTTTATCCACCACCTCCAGCAGCTGCTTTGTTGCTCAGGTTGTGGCTGGTGCTGTAATGGAACCAGTGTCTGCCCTCCACTGCAGCTGTAGAGGTAGTAAGGCAAGAGGGTACAGGGCTAATTGAGATGCCCATGTGAGGGCTGCATTAGTTTACCCTCCATAAAATCGAATTCTTGGGCCCCCCTAGACAGGGGGGAAAACCTGGGAGAATTGCCAATGAATCTCCAAATGGATTTTGGCAGTCCAGACACAGTAGCTTATATAGTTCTAAGATGTCTCTGGGGAATTACAGCAGCAGTACAGGTGCTTACTCTGGGAGAAGATTAAATTCTATACATGAACTGTAGGCACTGAACCTATGTGGGGCCAGTTGTGACCTCAGCCCCACTGCTCTCAGCTGCAGGGTGAAATGCAGCCCCCAGTGAGTGAGGATTATTAACTGCAGCCTGCATTTGAGACTTAGGAATTATTTTCTGTGGAGCACATATATAACACTTATATGCATGAGTCAGGTATTTGTGTAGTGTGTTCCTCATTTCTAAACTGTGCATTTTGGACTCCTTATTACGTGTAATGGGCTTTTGTTCTTCTGATACATATTTGTGCAGGTGAGTGTATGGTTAAGGGTCTGCCTGTGTGCATTTGAGCACAACATAAGTGTATGGAGAAGTCTTCTGGGAATACTGTGTTTGTTTGTGGTGGGGTGTGCTTTCTCCAGTGTACATTCTGTGTGCATACAGTGCCTGTGTGTGTGGCATTTCATTTGATTGTTCTGTTTTGCTGTTTTCTGGGCTGAACAATTAAGGGTAGTTTTTTGAGTGCGTCATATATATTTCCTTTCACGGCAATTGTGCATTTGCTAATGTCAAATTTATTCCAAATGGATATTCAGGTGCAATTCTTCATTTGGTAGACATAAATCTTGGTTACGTGGAATGAATGGATGTTTTGTCTGCATGCTCAGTGTATGTGTACTCCCTTGGTACACATGCTCCTGTTGCCTATAGGAAAAGGTGCTTTGCACTGAAAATAATCTGTGCCTGCCTTATGTGCTCTAAATGTGTTTTTGTGAATGTGGGGGTTAGAGTATGTGGGCAGGGTGTGTAGTAAATGCATGGCTCTAAAAATCTATGTGCTCAGTTTAATATTTGTGCCAGGTAAGCACATATTTCCCTGCATTTGCTGGCACACTTACACATGTGTTGAGTCTTCATATTGTTAAAATAACATAAGAATTGTCCACATATTTTCTAATCTTTAAAAAATGTCTTGCAGCTTCCATGGTTTAAATTTCTTAATGTCTGTCCAAGTGATATATGTCAAAACATCAGGAAGGATATTTAAGCAGTTATGTCAGTGGAATGAAACTAAGTCATGAGTTAATGCTTTTCTGATGCTATATAAAAGGGAAAATGGTGAAGAAGGGCCACAACTAAAATACAGAACGAACAAGATCAACGAGAATAAAGTCAGGCGGTTTGCTCTTAAACTGGAAACTTTTACAGCAATAGAACTCACATGACTGTATTGCTATTTTTATGCCATCCTATGATCACACCTTCCTGTCCCAGATCTCCCACCCTCTAGGGTCAGTCCCCAGGAACCAGGAAGGATGATGGAGCCCTCCTAACCTTGTTGCTTCCTCCTGTCTGTCCTGCCAGGTGCTTTGAAAGTGAGTCAAGGCATTCATTATCCCACCATTTCTCTTCAATGACATTTTAAAAGACCTGGCACAGTAGGAATGATTGATGTGCCTGCTGCTTTTCTCTGTAATTATCCAGTTTCCTTGTTGGGACTGAAATTATTGGCCTGCAAGAGGGCAGTGTCCCTATTGCCACGTAAAAACTACCCAAACACAAACCTGCTTGGCTGGTGAAGCTCCAGCTGGCTGAGGTGGTGATGTGCTGGTAGATGGTTACAAAAATTTACCCCTTTTTTGTTTCCCTTTTCATAGCAAAAAGCAGTGCACTGAAACAAGGACAGTGAGCTGTAATTAGTCCTCAAACAGCTGTGAATTGCCCAGCTGAAGACCTTGCCTGTAGTCTGTGGCAGGAACAGGAGGACAAAACCCCTGAGATCATCGGTTCAGTTGGTTAGAGCATGGTGCTGATAACACAAGGTTGTGGGTTTGCACTCACAACAACCTTGTGTGAGCTATTCAGTGAAGAGTTTGATTTGAGGATCCTTGTGGGCTCCTTGCAGCTCTTAATATTCTGTGGAGGAACAAATACTGGCAAAATGGAAATTACAGGAATAGGAAGATAGTTGAGAGTCTCACTCAGTTATGGAGCATCTTCTGTGACATTTGCTTTTTAGAGGGTGTTCAAGGAGTGTGTGCAGCTATTGCCAGGGGAAGTTGGATCTGGAGCTATCAGGAAACACAAAAACTGGGAACAGTTGAAGTTTCCTCATCAAAAAGTAGGAGTGTGCCAAGGATGGTGTGAGACAGCAGAGGGAGCTGACAGGGATTCCTGTAAGTATTTGTTGGACAGCTGCTATTCAAAGCCTGAAGAGTTAACAAATTACTAGTCTCGATGCTCAAGGACTGCCCCTCTGCAGTCTGTTGAGTTCTCTGTCTTCACCTGGGCTGTAAATTCCTCTCCAGAATGGATGCTGGAGTGTTCATGGATGAGCAAGGTGAGAGAAGAGGGAAAAGAAGGTTGGGTTGAAGGATCAGTGAGGTAAAGGATCCTTCAGCCTATGCTAAGAGAGCTGTTTGTAATGAGCAAGGAAGCAAGAGGATCCTGTGTAGCCTCAGGTGTGTGTGCAGATGCTGTCTCAGCCCACGGGGCTTTCCTGGAGCTCAGCTCATGCTCCAGCTGCCTGGTCCTCACCTCCCCCTTCCCCTGGCAACACATGCTGCCTCCCCCCGCCCCCTCTGCCTCCAGTTCCTTGTGACAGGCTTAGAAATCCTGGGACCCCTGATGCTGGAATGGCATTTTGGCCTAGCTGGAATTGTTTATAAGCACAGAGCTTTGATGCTGTCTCCAAAGCCTCTGGAGAGCTGAGAAGGGCTATTTTTCTTGTGATGCTTTTGGAGAATGCTATGGGAAAAGGTCAAGGGACAGAGTGGGAACGAGTAGGTCACATACTCATTGGTTTAGGGCACCAGGACAGCATTGGTTCTTTGGGGTCTGCGAGGCTGCTTTGTACAAATAAGCACCTCTCAGTGAGCTGCCTGGGAAAGAGCGGGGCCACGCCTCCCGCAGCGATTTCCCGCGGTCCTTCTCTTGCCCTGCCCTTCGCTGTGTTCAGCATCCCTGCCAACCGGGCAGATCCCACACATGCTGTGCAGCATCCTAAAAAGCCCTTTGCCTTCTGCCTTCACCTTTGTAATGCAAGGAGATGTTCTGTAAACAGGGGCCTTCTGCACCTGGCACAGATGGGTTTGGCAACAATGCTGCAGGATTCCTTAGTCCATCCCTATGTCACCACCCTGGGTCTGTGTACGAGAAGAGCTCAGGCTTGAACAGCTATTTGCCCTTTGATTTAGCATGTTCTCTTTCTCATTTAAATTGGGGTGGGGGGAAGCAGTCTAACAAGTCTTGTTTCCTTTTCCTTTTTCCTCCCTGATTCACACATACTTCAACTACCAGCCGGAGTGTGGGGGATATGTGAAGGAACAGGAAGCAGAGGGGTGAGGTGGCGAGTCATTTACATTGGAAATATGAGCTGAATGTGCATTTCCCTACTGCTGCCATCAATCACTCAGATTTCCTGTACGCTACGGAACAGAGGAATGGCGTTTGCTTGCTTCCCACTTCCCCCGGGAATGGAAACGCTCATTTGTTTCACTGCCTAGAAATGCTGATCACTCAAAACATTTACTGTTTCAGAGATACATGCAGTTCTGAAGCTGAATTTTTCAGCTTTGTCTTATCTGGTCTTCAGAAATATCTTCAGATGTCCTGTAGACCTGGGGAATTACTGTGCTCTGGTAGAGATGTGAAGGTGCTGCTGCAGTAGCACAGGAAAGCCTACAGGCAGCGGAGCAGATGCTTTACTGCAGAAGCCTGGCAGATACCCTCTGGTCTCCATCAAACCAGTTGCTTTAGCTTGTTCATGTAGTCTGGCACCAGATCCAGCAAGATGAGGTTTTTAGAGTCCTAAGTCGTTCTTATTGTTGGAAACTTTTCAGTGACTATTTTATGGGGCTAACAAATCTGTTGAGTGAAAGTTATAGTGGGGAATGACATGGAGCAGACAGATCAGCACATGTTCACTGTTCAGCTCTGTTGGAAGGGATGGAGACAATAGAAGAAACAGAACCTAAAATGTGGAACTGAGAAAGGAATAGAGAAAAGGAAAACCAGAAGGAAGCAGTAGGACAAACTAGAAAGTGAATGAATAGTCTATACCAAATAGCAGAAAATAACTAAGTGTAGAAGAATTCAGGTAACCTTGCACACCTCAAAGGTAGAATAAAAATGCCTGTGTATTCATTGCCCTTTTGATCATGTGAGGGTCTGGCACACGTCTGCTGTCTTTGATGGGATCTGGTCTCTGATTAAGAACCATCTTCCTCTCATTTAACAATCTCTCATTAGCCAAATGATTTTCCTGCAGAGGAAATGTGGACTTCATTCCAGCATAGGGGCCCTTGGGCTGTGGACAGTTAGGGACTCATGGATAGCTGAAGGGATGGGACACTAAAACTCTCGTGTGGTTCCTGCAGCCCTTGTTTGGTGATGGCAGGGCATCTTGGAAAGCTTCTGTGGTGGCTGGGACTGAGATGTTGTTGGTATTCAGTTCAGCTGCTGTAATAAAGAGGCTGGTGAGGCACCATGTCCTTGAAGCATGGTGGTGGCCAGGAAAGCTCTCCTGGCTGTGGGGGTCTGGAGCCCTGTTCCCTGGGGCTGTGAGCTCAGCAGCTTTTATGAGCTTAGCCACTGTAGGGCTGGGCAGTAACTCAGATGGGGACCTGTCGGGAAACCCAGGGGCTGGAAGGAAGTGCTGCTGGTGACTCAATAGGCAGAGCTCTTCCCTCTGTTGATGTTGGAGCTGAGCCACACAGACACATCCCTTCATAATTACCCACCAGTTTCTTACAGTCCATGCTTTGTAACCACTGGCATTCTTGTGTGTGGATTTGTAAGGCTCAAATCCATCCCAGGAAATCGGGTATCACAGCAGTGCTTGCAGCTCCTGAGAAGCAAGGATGTGTTTGCCTCTAGTGTGAGGTGTGTTTGGCTCCTGTGAACACATCTCAGGCATGTGCAGGTGTTGTAACCATGCAGACAAATCATGGATTCTATGCTGCCTGCCCGGCAATGGTTGGTGTGGGATTACGTGCACAAAACCCCGGAGGTGTGTCACTCATTCCCGCTGGGCCTCAGCCTGGTGAGGAGCCGGGAGGTGTCGGTGGCCTGGTGCGTGGGGTGGTTGGGCAGCACGGGCAGGGGAAGGGATGGATGGGCTGGGAGGACAAAGACCCTGCCGGGAGAGACTTCCCGAGCGCGGGGACCCCTGGCAGCGGGCAGCGCCCCGAGCCGAGCGTCCTCCTCCGTCTGCTCCTTTCCATTAGCTCGGTTCAGACATGAAGTCATGCCATGACTTCAGCTCTAGACATAAAACACAGTTTCAGCTGTGTTAAATGCATTGAATAGTTGCACTTTTTTTTTTTTTTTGTTTCTTAATGATCCTCCTGGAAATAGGGAGGTGCTTTGTAAAGTTGACACAATTTTCGATTGCTGTATTGATTGCTGTGTGATATTAGTGTATTTTGTTGCAACTGCTGCCTTATGCTGAGAAGTTCCTACTTCAAACTCCTTGTAAATCTGTCTGACCTGTCCTTGTGCTTCCACCCAGCCACGGTGGCTGCCTCTTCTCCCTTGCTCCCCACCAGCCCAGTGTAGTTGAACTCTCTGAATGCCATTAATTGATCTGGTTCTTCCCTGTGGGGGTGGTGAGGCTCTGGCACTGGGATCTTACAGACTCTGAAGTTATGCATGCCCCACCCCTGGCAGTGTTCGAGGCCATGGACTATCCTGCTCTAGTGGAAGGTGTCCTTGCCCATGGCAGGGGTTTGGAATGAGTTGGTGTTTGAGGTTCCTTCCAACCCAAATCCTTCTATGATTCTGCAACACCCTTATCCAACTTGCTACCAAGTGCACAGATAATCTGCTTCCTCCTATCAGAGTTATTTCTGTGCAATTATTCTCTTTGCTGTGGCTGGCAGAGGGACCCACCCATGCAGTGGGTATGTCCTGGCTCTGCAACAGCACTGCCTTCCTGTCCTGTTGTGAGAACAATGTTCTCTAGAATGTTCCTAGGTAACAACCAGCAGCAGGAAAATCATCTCAGCTCTCATGCTCTTTATGGGATTTAGTCTCTGCCACTTCAGAAGTCAGGGACTGTACTCTTCCAGGATCTGTTGTATCTTGATGAGTGATGGGCTGGGAATTGGAAAAGATGGGCTGGGCATCTCAAGGGGTGCTCATCTGGGGTAAGTCACAGAGATGTGCACAACAGGGATAATGGTCTGACTCACCTTTGCAGAGAGCTTAGAGAACTCAGATGACACTGTTTTTTTGCTGACACTGTTTTTTTCTGCCACCTCCCAGCTCCAGCAATGGTTCAAGACCTCCCTTAGGACTCTGACAGCAGGAATTCTACTGGTCTATTAGGAATATAGCAAGCACAGCAATATATTGCAGAGCTCTTCCTTCTCTCCCAGTGATGCTCAGTAGCTGTGCACAAGTTACCACAACATCATCATTGTCATCATTAGGATGCTGTGTGAAATCACCACTTAGTGTGTTCACTGAGTCAGCTCTTTCCTGGCTTCCACATTAGAGCTGACTGATCAAAACTAACACTAACCTGCAAAAAAACCTAGAAAACTGAGATTTCTGTCCAAATTCACTTCTGCATTGTTATTATTATCTGTCAGTGCTCTAAATAGTAAATTTTCTGAGGTCCTGAGCTGTTACAAGCTGCTAATGATGTGTACAAAGAGCTGATGGAAAGATTGGCTTAGAAGAACCATGGGCTCCCAGACAACTTCTGGATAAAGGATTCCAGTAGAGACTGGATCTTGAAGTTAGTGTCTCAATCACTGTTGGACCTCTTAATGAAACTTCCAGCTCTCACGTTTGTAGGAGACAATGAGGCAATGGGTGGTTGTTTCTTTAGGGCCCCCCTGCACTGCTCCTCTCTCAATTTTCCTGCTGACACAGATTTTCCTTGCTTGCTCAGTTTCAGTGCACCTGCTCATATAAACTCGGCTGTGCTGGGTTCTATCAAGCTGAGCCTGTGTATGGTAACAGAAGCAGCACCCAAAAGCACGTTCCTGGGCTGAGAGGGGTCATTAGGATGCAAGGAGAAGCCTGGCTTCAGCAGCCCCACAGAAACTAGTCAGGAAGTGAAGGAAGTGCCTTTAGTTAAAGGTCAAGTCACCTGACATAGGAAAATGCAGGGATATTTTAGAGAGAGAGAAGCAGAACAGGAGGCTTCCCTATGGGATCTAGGTATTCACTGTGACTATATATCATTATTATTGTCTTATATACTCAGTATAGACCTATTTACCTGTGCATGCTAAAAGCTTTTCACTCAGATTCAATATCAAACAGGAAAAATTGACTTGAAATGTGAATTCCCACATTGTTTTATTTGAGCCTCCAGGTCAACCTGCCTTGTCTTAGTCCTGCTTTAACCTGAGTTAAGTAATGTGGGTTAGTCAGTCTGTATCCAGAACATCTATTTTCTTGGATTTTAAAAGCCATTTTTGTGTAACCAGAAGGACTTAGAAATGGATAGGAAGGCCTCTGTGGTCAAATTTCAGGAAGCCAGAGTGTGCCAAGTGGGAACTGGTTAGAGCTGTGGAGGAAGCTGGCAAACAGCTGGAGAAGCCTGAGAGTTTGGGGGCAGCAACGTCCACTGGACCTGTGGGTTGTTTTTCATCACAACTACAACATTTCCAGTTTGTTGTAGTTGTGATGAAAAATATAAGCTCAAAAAGTGTTTGTGTGACAGCTTGTTTGTCTTCCTGCATGTCTGGAGAAGGGAGGCACTTGGTCAGAAGGACAGGTGCAGCAGAATTCATATCCAGCTGCTGGAACACAGATGTGATCCCTGGCAGGATGTTCTTGCTCTCAGCATTCTGTGTGGCAGAGCTCCCAAAATGCCCCTCCTGGCATGTTGCTGATGCTGTTCAGTGTTGTTGGCTGTTCCCCGTGGCTCAGGGCTGCAGCACAGTCCCTGAGGTGCCCAGTGCTCACCTGTGAACAGGGCTCCAGAGCTGTGGACAAGGCCAGAGCCATCCAAGGACAAGCTGAAGTGCTCCCCAGGCCTCATGAGTGGACAAAGCAACTGTGGTGAGGTTCCAAATGATATTGCAGGAAGGCAGGGTTTCTTGGAGTCTGGGTGGGGGCTAATCAATGTACATTCATCATTAATTTATGCATATAAGGGGCTTTTGGAGTGGAGTTGTCATGCTGGTTTTGAGAATGCTAACTCTATCCACCCTGCCAGCTGCTGCAGTGTTGTGGCAGTTTGTGTTGCTGCATGCAGAATTATGGTGCTTTTGTGGGAATATTATGTTCCCTGAATAGAGCCCCACAGAGCAATTTGCTTCATCCTTACAAACCCATCCAAATAACTGGCAGCGCCTTACAAATACAAAACAATTGAGAAAATAAATGTATTATACTGTACATCTGTGACAAAACAATGCTTTCATGTGCAAAGAGAGAAATGTGTTTGTTTAACTTATGGTCTCTCTTTTGGAAATAAATGCATTCATTTAAATCAAAATGGGATGTTCTTCACTATTACAGTATTTTGCACGCCAGATGTAAGAAATATGCTGCTTGAGGAGCAGACAAAAAACTTGGAGTGGTTGATCTTACCAAAAGCATGTATGTAGTGCCTTATTCTAGACCTGCCTCTCTTCCTGCAGCTTCTCCTCTCCTGGAGTGGGAAGTTCCTGGCTTTGTGCACGAAGGATCTGTGTGCAAAAGCTTTGGCAGTGTGGCAGTCTGGTGTCCCGTTTGCACACAGGAGAGCTTCTTTTCCACCTGATTTGTGCCAGAAGAGAGTGCAATCAGCAGCCATGCAGCAGAGCTTCGCATTGCCATGATCATGAGGCAAATTCCCTGCAGTCCAAAGGATTCTTGATCCTTTACAGTTTTTGTGTTAAAGAAACATTAGTTTCATTTATATGCAGCAGTAAAAGTGTTAGATGGGGAAATAATCAATGAAATACAGGTGGAATGTTCTAATATTTATTTTAAAAATGTGCCCCATCTTGTAATTTTCATCTTTTTAAATGGTTGAGCTCTTGTAATGAAAGTCTGCTGCATTTTAGTTTACACATAAGCTTAACATCATCAAGCAAAGTTTGTTCTGGGAGTTAACATTTGCATTTTTGAAAGCAGCAGCCTAATCCAGAGCAAAACCAGATGAGAATATATTATAATATAGCACATTACCAGCTGTCTGTCGGTAGGTGTGAGAATTGTCAAAAAGGTGCTGAAACTTGATTTCAGTGGTTTTCCAAGTCTACAGTTTCTTCCAATTCAGTTTGAAGATCACTGCTACCAGGAGTAGGAGTTGTAAACAGAAATTCCAGGAATGATTATTAGAAGGGAAAATAGCAAGAAAAATAAAGTATACACCTGATCTTTTAATAACAATAATGCTCAAACCACCTTCTATGCTTGTTATTCCTTAATTGAAACCACTTCTCAGATTATAGGTGAGAAGGAAAGAATTAGGAGTTTCAGCCCCTTGCCAGTCTTGGCTGACACAAACTGCTCTGTAATGGTGTTTTTCACATGTATCATCAGGTCTGGGCAAGCATTTGATTGTATTTCTGTTTTAGTAGCTGGAGGGCCCCAAGTTGAGATTCCCAATTCAGCAAGTCTAGCATTAATAAATACTCTTTAATGCAGCTGGAAAGCATCATGGTCTGCATCTTCCCCACCTGAAGTGTGATATCTATCTTCCTGCTGTATCCAGCCAGCCAGAGGACTCCTTACAGCCTGCAGGAAACGTGACACCTTCCTGAGAGCCAGCACCTGTGTATTGACTGATTGACCAGCAGGGCTGTGCAGCAAGGGAGGTTTGGCCTAGCTCTCTTTTTCCCCGGGATTGATTAATCAAATACTTCAAATAATTGCTGAAGTTGTGATTAATGTCAACTGCATAGCTAATCTCCCAGGAGAATAAAGTGACTCTGTTTGGAAAAAAAATCAAAATCCTGTAAATGAGTTAATTATTTACTCTGCTCACCTCTCCAACCTTGTTATGCTTGTAAATGAATAGAAATATTGATCTTGGAGCTGACTTTTGTGTTATCTATCTTGCCTGAGTTTAATTGGGGGGTTCAGTGTAACCCTGTGCCCTCCTTTTGACAAGGACACGCTCCTTCTGTTTTGATTTGGTGTGACCTGTGAGAGCAGGGCTGGCAGGACCATTGGGGTATAGCTGACCCCAGGATTTTTCGGGCACCCCTGAGTTAGTAGTTCCTACTCTCCATGAGCCACTGTGGCCCCGGGCAGCAGCACCTCCTTGGCCACCTCTCTCGGTGGCAGATTCTACCACCCAGTGGCTGCTGCTGTTAAAACAATCTTGTTCCCTCCCATTAGCTTCAGCTCGCATCCAGTTTTCCCATGTTCCCGGTCTGCCAGCACATTGTCCCCCCCCCCCCCACCACGGACAAAGGACACTTTGGGAGCAGCCAGGGCTGCAATGACAGATTTCTGCCCCTGGCAGCGCAGTGCAGGCTGGCTCACAGAGCTGCCTGCTCTGTTCCCTGTCGTGGCACAGACAGCCCTGTGCCCCAGCACTCTTCCCCAGCTCAGCAGTGCCTGGCAAAATGTGGGACTCAAACTGACAAAAGAATGCCAGTTTTAGGAATATTAGCAGGAATGTACCACCAGCAGCAACACAGAAAGCTCCTCTGCTCTTACATTTGTGCAAATGTAAGTAAAGGAACCTTTAAAGCCAGCTGCTGTCTGTGGTCATGTCAACTCCCTGTGCTTTCATTTCCTTGCAGTTTGGATTCCAGAAAAAGCTTGGGTGTTTCAGCTTTGGAAAAGCTGTTTTAGACACTGTCCAGAGACCATCAGCTTGTGTAACACAGAGCTGGGGCAAGTCCCATGATGCACAGGTACTGTTTGCTGGTCACAATGTCATGTTTTCCTTGGGAAAACTTCATTTCAGGAAACAGGGAAAAACAAGTGAACAGTTACTACAGTATCCCTGCATCAGAACCTGAGAGGAGGCTGTAGCCAGGTGGGGGTCGGTCTCTTTTCCCAGGTGATGAGCAACAAAACAAGAGGAAACAGCTTCAGAATGCACTAAGGGAGGTTTAGATGGGATATTAGGGAATTTTTTTCATCAAAAGGTTGTCAAGCCCCAGCACAGGCTGCCCTGGGTATTGGTGGAGTCACCATCCCTGGAAGGATTTAAAAGCTGTGTGCATGTGGCACCTGGGGACATGGGTTAGTGGTGGCCTTGGCTGTGCTGGGCAAATGGATGGACTTGATGACTGGAGGGGTCTTTTCCAACCTATACAATTCTAGGACTGGGATAAAATAAGACACCCCAGCATAGAGGGAACACAATGGCTTTCTCTTCTGCATCAGACTGTAGTGAACACAAAAGGGCAGGAGTTTCTAGCAGAGCTCTGGAAGAGATGTTAATGTTTCCCAGCAAGGCAGACACAGCTCCACCAAAGCATCCTGATGGCCAGACACAGGAATGAGTGTATTAGAGCCAGACAAAGACTTTGTGCCAGGCTCCATCCGTAGTCCCTGCCAGACACAAATGGTTTGAGTTGGTGCTGAGACACCCAAATTTTCTTTTTCTTTTCTTTTTTTTTGGCAGCAGGAGGCTGAGTTATATATGTAACCTCAGGGCTATATGGACTTGGTACAGGCATGGCTGGTGCTACAAAGATAAGTAAAATAAACAAGAAGCATTTTTGCTGCTGGACTCAGTGGCTTGACTTTAATGCCAGGTGCCATCATGAGAACTTGGCTGCAATTCAGTTGGTGAAACTTGATATGTTTTCTTGTAGCTTTTGGATGTGGCTGTATTTTCTGGCAGCTGGGGAAAACAGCTTTGAAAAATAATAGTGGCTTTTAAGGCAAATTAGTGTCAACATTCACTCCATGGTACTAGAAGCCAATCAGTTTAAATTCCTATTTGGCAAATGAAATTCCTGTCATGATGGCCACTCTCTGTAGCCCAGTTCTCATAGTAGCCCAGCTACTTTAGCATAGTTCTCATGCTACTTGTTTTTCACTCCCTTTCTTTTCTTTTATTGTCTGGTTGAAGAATTGTTTGGTTGCTGAGGTGTTGGATCTGGTGTGGTTTTTAAGGTACCTGTGCTTGGGCCTCTCCCCTTTGTATAGGACCAGTCTTGCAGGAGTAGAGGGGAGAAAAAAAAAGCAAAAGTTGGTGAAGCTTTAACACCTGCCTTAGGCACAGTTCAGCTCATGAAATCCACCAGTGACTGCTCTCAGCAAGGCACCTGATTCCAGCTGTCCTGCCTGGGCTGAGACAGGTGGGTAGTGAGGATCCATGGGGGAGCCATTATAGGCTATTCCAGGTGAACAGAAAAAGGAAAGAAGCAAAGCTGCCTGTGAATAGAGAGAATCAGGAGAGCAAGAGGTAGATGGGCTGCTGAAATAATGCTGCCTTTAACTGTGAATAAGTAACAGCATCACAGGATGTATTCAGGGCAGCAATTTTGGAGGGTTAAAAGGAAGGTTAAAGATTACATTTAGGATTAGGATTAGGAAAATTGGGACCCCTAAGGCACACTCAATGAATGCTGAAGATAAAGGCAGAGGCAAAACTGGCTCTGTCTGGAGTAACGACTGGTAATTAGGTGTGTATGATACACTTCATAATTTTTTTGTATTAACACCTCTGTATTTAATATCTATGGCATGTGCACGTACTATATACAATATCCATGTTATTAGCAGATTAGATGTTATGCAGACTAATTCCTTGGATTTATGGAAGTGTTAGAAGTTGCTGTGCCAAGAAAAGGGTTTCCTCTGGCAGCTCTTTACATCAGCTCCTGTCCAGGAGCAGCTTACACATGAGGCTTCCCTGTCGTGCTGAATGCCTGGCTGTGAATGCAACCCTTGCTGAGGCCATGGCTTTGGCTGGAGCTCTAAATGCTCAGGGGTAATGCAGGCTGTGTTAGCACGCAATGCAGATGCCGGGGAATGAGTAAAGTGGGAAAGGAAGGAGTGAGCCTGCCTCTGTCATCCTTTTCAGAGAGCAGAGGAAGACATTAGCAGCCTCCAGAGGGAGTTTCACTGCTCAGCTGGTCCCTAGGCGCAGGCAAGTGGTGCCTCGGGGAATCTTGTGATGGATGAGCCTGTTTTACTTAGTTCTATCATGGCCCTTCAGAAGGCACTTGTTTCCTGTTTGGTTTTAAAAGACTGGGTTCACTGTTTGCTAATTTTATGTGAGGGCATCAAATCTTGCAGAGGAAGCAATGCACACCAGGACAAACCCCCTCCCATCTGTGCAGCACTGTGCTGCCAGCCCTGGGCTCTGCCATGGGGGGCTCAGGTAAGGCCAGGGGTGAGACTGATCAGCTGCACCTCAGGAGCCTTGTGTGTGCTGTGGGGATCAGCTCACACAATCACTGCTTCCCTCTTCCAGAGCAGGGACACCTCTGCTGTGCAAGGGTTGACTGAGTTGTTTCGTAAATCTCAGCAATAAAAATGTGTCCACAATCACCCAAATAATGGAAGGAAAAGGTGAGAGCATAGAATGATTATGCTGGTGAAAGAAAGGAGGAACTAGTGGAGTCTGAAAGAGATACAGGCAGGTGACCAATGGGCCTGGTGAAGCAGAACGAAATGCATTATTATTTTTAATGGAAATTCAGAAAAGGCTCTGTAGATACGCTGGGCAGAGGGTAAGTAGAGAAATTGCTAATTCTGTACCGTTGGAAGTGAAACCAGCTTTGTTCCACTGCTCAGGCAAATGGATGTGGCAGCTGGAAAGGACTTTCTGGCAAGGGATGGGAAGAACATCATGTGGGGATTGCCCTTCACACCTGCCAGGTTTTCTTCCTGTTTGTGCCACAGGAGTTCATTGTGCTGATGTGAAGCTCTGGGTTCCCTGCAGAGGATATGTTTCAGAAATTTCAGTGTGACTCTAATTCCAGGCTCCTTCCTGCCCCTCTGGCTTGCACATCAAACCTGGCCACACCACATGCTCCCTCTGCCTTACTTAGTCCCTAAGCAACCTTTCTGACCTAGGCCATCCTCCATCCAAAATCCTCCCAGTGTGCTCGGGCTTTGCTGCCCTCAGAAAACTTCCTGCATGTGGGATTTGCAATAAAAAAGCAAGATCCCTGGTAAGCAGGTTAACTATTTCTTCCAAATTACAGGTAGCTAAAGCTATGCTTAACTTCATGCTCATAAATTAAGCAAAGGTTCTGATGCCACCGCCAAGGAGCAGAACCTAGACTTTCACAGACTCCGAGGTCTTCTCTCTTCTCCTTTCTTCTGGGTGGGGTGCCTAAAGCTCAGTTTGAAAAACGACAATAATGTCACTAGGATATGTGATGCAGTGTCATAAGGGACATTCCCATTGTGTCAGTGCTCCTCAGAAAATGGTTCCCAACACCTATTCTAGAGGCTAGAGAATGTGCTACATTTAAAAAACAAAATACCAAATCAATCTGTGTCCATGAGGAGAGCATTCCCAAGAACAACATTTGCTGAGAAAGAAAGAGCATTTACTGTGTTTCAGGCAGAACAGAAGTAATTAAGGCACAGCACCTACCCAAGGCAGTTCCCAAGGTTGCTGGCTGGCCAAGTGGGTAATGTAGAGGGATTTAGGTGGTGATAGTGGCCTGTGATGGTGTTTAATAGAAAATAGTGGTTGGGTTATTATTTCTGGGGGATGTAACCATCCCAGATTCAATGACTTGGCACGGCACAAGCTTTCCTGGCATGAAGTCACGCTACATGTCTTGGAGAAACTGAGGACTCCTGAGCCACTGGGTAACTGTGCCAGCCAGGGGGTGCAGGTGAGGCTGGTGCTGCTCTCCTCTGAGGAGAAGTAGATAACAAATGCTGTATCTCAGAGCGCACCTGATTACTTGTGCCAAGTCCTCTTTTCTGAGAGGTACCTGTACCAGGATGGCCTGGGCAGTCTGTTGAGCTGCATGTTCTCATTCTGGCCCAGGCAAAAATTC